CCTACCCACCCAACACAACTACCCCAATCACTGACCTACCACCACCACTACCCCATCACCAGCATCACCACCACCGTCGCCGCCATCACCACCTCTGTCACAATTGTCGTCGCTTCCTCTACCGCCTGTCATCACCACCACCGCCACCACCACCACAACCACCGTTGCCATCATCGACACCACCACTACCACACCCCCAACCTACCACCGCTATCGTTTTCTACAAATGAAAACCGATAGAAATATACACATCTAAACGCGTTTTCTAATTTTCTAAAACTGAAAATGAAAAATTAATAAGTTTTAACTAAACGCGTTTTCTAAATTTTCCAATGAAAACTGAAAACGAAAAACGCAAACTAAAAAGGGAAAACGGAAAACAGAAAATGAAAGTTGTTTTTCCGTAACTAAATGCAATCTTAGCAATTGTATATTCTTTATTGATATCCTTGTGAAATCTGCTATCTTTTGTTTTTGTTTCTGATTTTTCTTTTTCTTTTGAAGGTTGAACTCTTTGTAGCTCAAGGGTATGTTTTGAGATATTGTTCTTGTATTTTCTTTCTTGTGGATGAAGCATTAACTTACTTTTCTTTTTTGTGCAGATATATTTCGGGGTCAAGTACTGACTAATGATGTTCTTCCGATTGCATTTTCTCCTCACATGGAATCAATTTCTTTTTTATGTAGAGAATGTTTTCTTTTTTACTATATTTCTTGTGTTTTGATTTGTCATACAGGTTGACATTTTTATCCCTTCCCAAAGTGGATGCACATTTGACTTTTCTATTTTGATACGGAAGAAAGTAAGTTTCCAACTTGAACTTCATGACATTAATTTGACATCAGTAAAGTGTTTATCTCCAACTTGAATTGAATCTTTACACTTTTCTATTATTTTGTTATTCATTTTGTTTGATTTTTTTGTTTTAGATATCAGTCCTCATTTTTTGTTGCTAAAATGAGTACTTTTCATCTCTGTTTTCCTACCATTCAAAATTAAAATGTAAGCTCCACCACCTACTTGATAAGGCAAAAGGATTTTACACAATAAAACAAAATTTATGTATTAGGTTGTGCAAATTGTTCCTTTTCATGATTTTATTTTTAGTTTTTAAACTTAAAGTGACTTTTTTTCTATGTTAATATTTAGAACTGTTGTTGCTACATTAAACCTTGAAAATGAATTATTTTTTTATTTTAAGTAGTTTATTTTATAGACCCTTTCATTGCATTGAATACATATTTGTTTGATTTTTACAGGTCTCTTCTTCGTCACACGTTTTAAGTATTTTGTTTTTGTGAAATAGACTTTGACCATCATGAATCTAACAGATGTGTTGTGAATATCTTTTAACAATTTTCTAATTGAAACATAAAGACAAAAATTTACTTGGAGATTGGTGGGTAGGCCTTGGTTTTGGATGGACAAATAAAAAATATTTGATAGGAAAAAGAGGATAGAAAGAAAGGGGAAAGAATGGAAAGAATTGGAAATGCAAGTTCTTTATTTTTTATTAGTTTTGTGATCAAAAAATGTATGCATTATTTTTACTTCAAAGTACCAACATTTCCATCAAACATTATATTTTTTTTGTTTTCTTTTACTTGATACTTGTCTGCCAAACATCATTGAGATGGTTTTCGGATTATGTTCACGGGTTATCACTAAGATGGTTTTTTGATTTGTACACATTTAGTCATTGAGTTTTTTTTTGTCCACATTTACCCCTTCAACTTGTTAAACTGTACACATTTAGTCCTTATGACCGGCTACTCCAGGTTAGCCGGTAAAAATGACTTAATAAGGTAATATATTTATCACTTTGTACACATTTAGTCCTTAATATTTTTGTACACATTTAGTCCTTAATATTTTTTTTGTTTCAAAATAAGTCATTTTTGTTTTTGTATTCATTCAGTACTTATGAATGATTTCTTTAGGTTTTCTCACGACATCTTATGTGGGATAGCCATATGGTGGTGGGATAGGTTCAGGTTGTCCTGCTATATGTTGTAGGCCAAGATACCTAGTGCGGGCCGGCTATAACCTGTAGGCACGAAGACTCGAGAAGAGCGGTTGGATTAAGGCGTCATGCTAACAAACCCTGGGTATTCCATTCCGATGATTGATTGGACCTATTGCATGTTGGCATTCCAGTCCGATGACTGATTGGGCCAATGTATACCAACCTGATGAGTGTGGGTCCGTTATGCATGATAATACGTTTGTTGTGTTGGGTATTTTGGGGGAAACTCACTAAACTTTGTGCTTACCCAGTTGTTTATGTTTTCAGGTTCTATCGTTGGTCATGGGAAGGCGAATGCATGACTGTACACACTCATCAACAATATTGAGGATTACGCATTTCTTATATTACTCTGATTTTCGATAAATGTATTTTAGAATAAATGTTTTTTTCTTAATAATGGATTTATAATTAGGGAGTTTTGCCTTATTTAAAAATGAAATTTTTTGGTTGTAAAAATGAGACATTACACATAAACATCAACAGCCTCACACACTTCATCAATGATTGTCCCACGTAAGATGTCGTGAGAAAAACCTAAAGAAAACATTCATAAGTACTGAATGTGTACAAAAACAAAAATGACTTATTTTGAAACAAAAAAATATTAAGGACTAAATGTGTACAAAAATATTAAGGACTAAATGTGTACAAAATGAGAAATATATTACCCTATTAAATCATTTTTCTGGCTAACCTGGAATAACCGGTCATAAGGACTGAATGTGTACAGTTCAACAAGTTGAAGGGGTAAATGTGGACGAAAAAAAAACTCAGTGACCAAATGTGTACAAATCGAAAAATATATTACCTTTTTAAGTCATTATCCCTTACAAGACTACAATTAGGCATGTTTTTGGGTAAGTCTTAATAAGAAAAAGAGTAAATGAAAGTTATTGTTATTTCCCATAATTTTTTTGCTTTTGAATTTGTTTTTACCTAATTAAAAGACGGAGAATTCCTTCTTGTTCAATGATAGTCTTGAGGTGGTCAGCAGATTCTTGACCCAACTTTCTTGATGTCGGGGAAGATGGCCTATTAGTCTACGTGAAGATCGATGTTTTGCACCCTTCTTTTTATTACACTTGGCTTGAGGTTCACTCTTTCCACTTAGTTGGAATTTATACCTTTTCAAGATATTATATGGAGAGTGTAGGCCGTTATTAGCAATCCATACGGATAATTGCAATTCATTATTCCATTTATTAAACTTGTAGTTCACTATTATATTCAATACTAAGTGCCTTTTGCATTCATGTCTATGAATTCAAGTGCCTTTCGCATTCATATCTATGAATTCCGACGAATACTCATGTTTACTAGTCTTAGGCCCCGTTTGATAAACATCTTTCCAGGTCTAAACAGATCTTTCTGGCTGAATGGACTGGAAAGACTGTTTGATATGCACAAAAAATTGGTCTTTCCCGGTAAGATATGTCTTTCCCAGAAAGCTCCAAAACCATATCTTTCTGGCTAAATAGGCTGGAAAGATAATTGTGCCCAAACTCTGCCTCTTTCTTTCTTGCATTATTAATTTTCTTTCAAATAATTTTTTTAATTTCTTTTTTTATTGAATTATTATATATTAATAAATATTATTTTTAATATATAATATTTATTTATTGGATTTTTAATTTCTTTTAAATAATTCTTTTTTTATTTCTTTTTAATGGATTAATTCTTTTTATTGGATTATTATATATTAAAAAATATTAGTTATAAATATATAATATTTACCTATTAATCAATATTACTTTATTGGATTATTAATTTCTTTTAGTTAATTTTTTTAATTCATTTTTATTAGATAGTTCTTTTTTTTTATAACACTACCATTATCCTAATATATTTTGAAAAAATCCATCCATCCCACCACTATCGAACATAAACCAAGTCAAGAATCACATGTTGAGTTATAAAAGATTTGCTACAAAGAATAACGATGTAACATTAACTTGTAAAAAAAACTAAAAACAACTTAATTGACATTCTATTTGGATTCTAAATGATTATTGTGTAATTTTGATTTTATATGACAATTTGTATGTTTTTATAATTATTCAGCAACTTCATCCATCACAGTATAGAACAGCAGGGTAATATTGTCATTGTTTATCATTCAACACAGTCAATCAGATGTACAATCAAACAACATGGTTTCTTTCCCAGTCAAAAAACTTTCCCATACAGCACTTTCCCAGACAGCATTTTTCCAGACAGAAACTATCAAATGGGGCCTTAATAAAAAAAGATAAGAAAGTTGT